AAGGGGCAGAGGAATGATACTCTTTGATAGAAGAACAGTTGGCTGCTATGTATCACTCCTTACTGGCTACAGAACCTGTCACTGGAATGGTTCCAATAAAGGTAATAACCACCTATCCTATCTTGGGATGGGTACAAGACTGTACCCAAAGGCCAATGAGTGGTGTGGCACAAACACCCACACTGGCCAAATGAGGTGCTTACCTGTAGCAGTGCAGTGCCCTCTCTAGTAGCCCCTTGAGTGAAGAACTCCAATGCTTATTGGGGCTAGTGACATATACTAGTGAAAAGCAGGAAGAATTTGCTTTAGAACCATTGGTAGCAGAGTCCTTATTGGGAGAGAAGAGCCCTATACCTGAAGATGAATGGTACACAGATGGCTCCTGCCTTGGGCAGCCCCCAAAAAGGAGGGCCATAGCTTTCCATGGATGGAAAGATGGTGAGGGGAAGAGCACTCAATGGGCAGAGTTGCGGGCAGTGTGGCTTGTGATCAGCCAGGAGCCCTCCTCTATAGTTGTCTGCACTGACAGCTGGGCTGTCTATTAGGGCTTGACTCTGTGGCTACCAACATGGTACCATGCCAATTGGTTGGTTGGTCACCAACCTCTTTGGGGGCAAGAATTGTGGCAAGACCTATGGGCCTGTGGTCAGACTAAAACAGTTACAGTATATCATGTAACAGGCCAATTTGCCACTGGCATCCCCAAGAAATGATGAAGAAGATAAATTGGCCCAGATGTGTTGGCTAGAAGGAAAGCCTGCCTTGATATAGCCCAATGGTTACATGAGCATTTGTTGCATTTGGAGCAAAAGACAATGTGGTCTGTAGCCCAAAGGTGGAGCTTGCCTTTGACCTCTGAAGAAGTCAGCACAGCCTGGCAGGATTATATCATATGCTCTAAAAGGGACTTACATCAAGTTCCACAGCAACATGGTACAATAGCTAAGGGGCTGATACCCCTTGTCAGGTGGCAGATAGACTATATTGGGCCTCTGCCTGTGTCAGAAGGGTACCAATATACCATGACTTGTGTGGACACAGCTACTAGACTTCTGATTGCTTTTCCTACACATTGTGCAGACCAACATACACCAAAAGAGGCCTGGATTATCTCTTTGCAGCCTATGGCTGACCACAGGTAATTGAGAGTGATCAAGGTACCCATTTTACTGGACATGCATTAAAAGAATGGGTGTAACAGTTGGGAATCAAGTGGAAGTTTCATGTGCCATGTAATCCTACTGCAGTAGGCATGATAGAGAGGTACAGTGGTTTGTTAAAATCTGGACTGAAGTCAGACACCAGTAGTCTGTGGGGATGGTCAATCTGCTTATGGACAGTGCTATGCATTTGATTGAGAAATCCTGAAAGGGAACCTCGAGCCCTGTAAGCATGATAACACATTGCCTTCCCTATACAACTGCAGCTACAAACAAAGGAAGAATCGTTGAAGCCATGGTTTGGCCACCAGAATAATATCTTGCTGCCAGCAACAACTGCTCTAAACCCTGGAGGCTCCATTAACTGGATGTGGCCTTGGACCTTTTGACACATGGACCAATGTTGGCTGGCCCTCCTGGCACCTTGGGGACAAGGCCTTGAAGCAGGCCTCCTGTGTTTTCCTGGAGTAACAGTAAAGTGGCCCCCAAAGATCACAATAGTACATCCTGAATGGACAGAAGATAGGAGCATCTTACCGGGGAGTTTTGTTTTATCATTATGGCCAGTGCATGTACCTCCAGGAGCACTATATATATAGACCCTTCAGTAACCTCTATGGGGAGAGGGGTAAAGGTATGGTATACTAGACCTGGAAGGGACCCCCTTCCTGCTACAGTCCTATCACAGGACCACTCTCTTGCATGCATCCTACCTCATGGACAAGATTTGCCTATGTTGGTGGCATTAAAACATGTGTCTTATTGCTCCTAAGGTCTTTGTGGATTGGGCACACACCCTAGCAAAAAAATCACTACTTGCTGGGGTGCATGGAGCTCTGTATCCATACCACTACTAAGTGTGAGTTATGAACTCCTCTGAGTAGAACTGATTTTGAATATAGCTGAAATAACCTCCTCTAGCTTGAGGATTATTATGATTTTTGTTACCTGTATCAAAATCTTGTATCTTAATTTTTGTTATTATCTCTATGTTGTTGTTATCCTCTGTTGCTGTTGTGGAATCTGGTTACAATGCTCCAGCTTTCTCACATAGGGACCATTGCAGAACTCAGAACATGAAGATTGTGAGGCAAGAATCCTGGAGGGGTGGAGTGTGTATAAAGTGAAGGTTCCTATGGCCAGGATCCTCACCTGAACCTAAACTACTTGATGCTGTAACTGACCTGCTGCTAGGCTACTGCTGCCACAGCCATGGTAATGAGCTATTATTGATTGAGTCTCTATATACAAAGCTCTGCCCAGTGCTCTGTGTGGAAGCAGAGATGGAGGAGGATTACACCTGCAGGCTGATGGATGCGGACATAGTAATTCCAGTGCTCGACCTATTGTCAGGAGAACAAACTGGGTAATAAACCCTTTCACTCCAAGAATGTTCCAATGTCATTCCTCAGTCTCACTGAATCCGTAGTGAACTTGCCTGGGGCTGAAACCCATTGGCAAGACACAAAGGTTTGGTTGTTATGCAGATTTAAGTCCTTGCCTTCCCCATTGATCAGAGTTTCTAGAGTTCCTCTTCCTGGTGCAGAAATGGAGACACTTTTACAAATGGAGATTTCCCTTATAAATGCATATACCTCTTACAAAAGTGTAACTTTTACTTAGTTTTCAGAGCTTCTCTGTTATCTGATGTTTTTTTTTTTTTTTTTTAACTAACCAGCTCAAAATATCCTTAAGCCAGAGATATTTTTTGGGGTGGCATATTCTGCATCCACATTTTGGGTGGGTGAAGCACATTCATCAAATCCTCCATTTTCATCTGGGTCCTTTGTCATGTGTTTGTTTAAAAAACAAGTATTTCAAAGAAAACACCCAAATTTAATACCATAAAACTATTACCCACAACTGTCTTCCATGAATCTTTTTTCTTTTGGTTTAAGAATAGGAAACTCTAGTGAGTCTCAAAGGGTTCATACTGTTGAAAGGGTTGTTGTAGATTAAAAATAGCGTGGCAGTTATCTTTGGCTGCTGGGGTATTGGTTTACTTTTCTCACAGAAACAGGCTTTAATTACAGAGCAAAGAATAAACAGGACTTGATTGCTCCTCCGAAAGACTGACATTTCAATCTCTTTCACAAAATACTTACTGATTTTGATGTAAGAGGAAGAGAAGAGTCAGAATACAAAGGAGCTTTGTGTTGCCAGCGGTTGGGAAAGCATCCTTTGTCTTCCCAACTTAGCAGTTTTGATATGGAAGTCAGTCAAGAGAATAAATTGGTAACACAACATTGTCATTTTCACACTCTCTTTTGTTATTGTACTTTAGAAAACATCCATTGTAAGGCAGTTGAAGTTTTTGGGCTGCTGGTGGAAAAAGGAAAATGAAAACTGGCCACACCCCGAATTTATGTCAAGGAAAATATGTTATTTACAGTAGTTATAGCTGCATTTTCCTTATATGTTGAAAGACAGGTAGTAATTTAAAGTTCAAAAGGGAGAGAAAAGCCCAAGTTCAGAATAATTGGTTACATGTAAACCCCTCCATGAAGGCAGTTTGGGTTTAATTAAAATGCATGTACAGTGGTATGTTTCAAAAGAAGTGAAAGTGCTGGGTATTCAGGACTCAAAATGTCAGGGATTCTTCTCCCACCAGTTAGGGGTTTCATACTGTTCCTGAGAGTAATATTCCTTGTAAGTAGGTAAACATTTGGTATTAGCTAGATAAAAAGGTAGATGGCAAAAGAGAATGTGTAAACAGAAAGCAATCCAGCTGAAAACAGTTTCCAAATACACCCGTGATGGGTAATGTTAGTGGTATCCATCAGAGGGGCAGTACAAATGGTGGGATTTGCATGAAAAAATGCACCTAGCTAGAAATATTTTCTGATTTTGATTACAGACAATAGCCTCTCAGTTTATTGGCTTGAGGTGTTACTGTTTTCTGTGTTGGTCACAGCAAGACTCAACAAGATGGAGTAGAGAGCGGGAGACAGAGACAGAGTGACAGGCAGAGACAAAGAGAGAATCTCTCTCATTAATTCTAGAGAATACTGAAGCAGGAAATTTTATTTAAATATTATTTTTCAAAATGAGAGAAAAATGAAATCAAATATGATATTTAAGAAAATAAAAGGCAATGTGAAAAACCTCGGAAGTCCACACAAGTTCTTAGCATTCCTCAAGAGAGTGTGATATTGGTAGGGAGGTATGAGGACTCCAAAACAAGAATTCGCTCCCAGTCAGCTTGAGCTAGTTCTTGGCATCCTCAAACCATCATCATTCTCAAGTGTGCAGAAGGAATGCTTTAAATAACTCATGAAAATGGCAAAGTAGAATTTTAGATTTCAAAACATTTCAGTATGAAGCAACCCAAAGGAACAGCATCAAAATCATCATTTTCTAGCAGTATTCCGTCCCCTCCCAGGATCTGTGGCAGTAGGGCAGGATACAACACAAAGTAAATGGAACGTACATACTCCTGCTTTTTAAAAACTGCGCCAGTAATTACTTCCTTTTTACTAAACTGTGGTACAAAGTCAAGTGTCCTTTTATGGGCCGGTAAAAGAAAACTGAATATAAATAAAATTGTTTTTATAAATAGTAGAACTGTAGAACCACTAAGTAGTAGAACCAATATTTATAAGATAGCCAATGGTGAGACCCCTTTCAGTGCAAATTCCTATAGGAAACTTGGCAGTGCTAGAAAGATGTTCAACTAGTATTTAATCTATAATACATTATAATTATCAGTATGTGCTTCAGTAATTTTTTTATTTAAAATGTTAAAAGTGAAACAAAAATTGTGGAAGTTAATAGGTTCACTTCTTTAAGGTAAATTGAGAAAATGGCTATAACAAAGTATTGGTTGTCCGATTTCCCCAGGTCAACTGATCTCAGAAAGTGTGACTCCAAGATCCTGTCTGCCGTTACCACAGAATTAAGTGGATCAATCTGAGCATCTATTGTAGTGGAAAATCCATGAGAAAAAGACAGCACTATCTGTCATTCTGGGAAGGTAACTTTAATTCATACATTCTGGAATAGCGCCATGGGTCTGAATTCACAGATGCTATGGTACTGTTATGATTACTCAACTCCCTAGGTTACAGTGGCTCAAATTCTGCCACTGGTATTTTAGCCTGTGCCCCAACTGTTTTATTTGTTGTATTGCCACCTGTGCACTCAGACCAAAACAGAAGGGAATGGCTAGGAGCCATGATATTGATGGCTGAAGTCAAAAAGGTCATGAAATTCCATTGGGTTGCCCATGGAAAGGGTTCCTATCTCTGAATTCATCCCAAGGCAGTAACTCTCTTCCAATTAAAGACTTATAACTATACCCTTAAAATGAACACCCTCTTACTAGACTGGCTTATGCTGGTAGCCACTATCTTAACAAATGTGGTCTCCTTTAATCTGTAAGCAGCATTTATCACCTGTGAGGCATGTTTGCTGTAAGTCCTAGAATGCTGCATATTTAGGCCCATGACTTGACTAATAGATTATAGATGCTCACATGAGATACATGATCAGATCAGAGCAACAATTTCTCTATTATTCAACACTATGTAATTATGTCATCATTTCTTTTTGATATGTGGTAAATGGGGAAACATACAAAGAAAGATCAGATTGGGAAGGCCTTATTGTAACTTATACAATGGCCAGGAGGTCTCTTTTATCTTGACTCTTAGGTTTGAGGCTTTGAAACATATAAACTCCTAATAAGAGAAGGGATCTTGGCGCCTGATCAAAACATGAAAACATTTGTGGGTTCTCATATGAGATGTTGGCTCAGTTGTAGCACATACCATAAAAATAAATTAAGTAATTGAAATTCATCCTCTACATTATTTATTATGCAACAGAGAGTTTCTCCTTAGTGGCAGTAAACATTGTAACTGTTTCCTTTTGAAGTTAAGATGATTTTTTCTACCCCCTCAGACAAAATAGAAACATCTTCCCTCAAAGTGGCGATTTTATGAGGGAGGTGTTCTATCACTTTAGATGGCCTCGATCATTACTGTATCTCACTGGACCTTAACTTCCGTATCTGCAAAGCAAGGGAAATGGTGCAGTTGGTCTCTGAGTTCCTTTTAGCACTGAGATCCCTTGATTCCAAGACACTCCAAATTGCCAGTGAAGCATTATACTAGAACTAAAATGATAAGTACAGTTAAGATATTAAAATAAGGCTAATGCTTTATCTCCTTGTGACTTGGCCATTGTCTCTGACATGGATATATGGCATTCTGTTTGTGTATTACAGAAAACTACTAATTGCTATTTCCTGTGACAGAAAATGGCATCTTTAAAGAATATCTTTGAAGACAAGAATTTATTCTTGGTAAGCAAAATGGACCTTGGTACAGGTTCTTACTCTTTGTTCAAAGTAGGTATGAAAGCTGTGTTTTGGTGAAAAGTCAATGGCCTAGGAACTGGTTCTGCATCCACAGGCTAAACCAAAAGATGGTTTTCTTTCAGTGGTACTTAATATCCTGAATTAAATCTTAGATTACTCTACAGTTGGTGTACTTATCAATATATTAACTGCATATAAAATCATGCTGACAGTGTGTAAAGATTTCAGCAGAGCCTAATTTTTATTTCACTGCATGAATTTCTCTTTTCACTGAAATTCTGTGAAGCTTCTAAATTGTCTCTACCTCCTGTAGTACAGTTAACATGTGTTCACTGGGATAGAAGGGCTACCAGCCCTATCTCCCTCCTACAAAACTAACAAATATCAGAGTCAAAATGTTAGCTAAAATTTGAGTGGTAAAGGGATTGAGATAACTAGTTTTTGTTTTTTTATAAGAAACGTATCTAGTGTAACTCTCTGAGTGGTATACTGGCTAGAAAATAAGTAGTACGATTTCTGTAAGTTGTAAGCAGGATTGCATTTGCAAAGCCTATAATGGGAAAGGAAATTAATAGATTTTTAAATGACACTTTCAATGACCATTTATGCCTCATCCCATAACCCCACACACCATGAATATAAGCCAGTAGGAGCTGAGGTTTCTAACTTGAGCATGCTCTACATATTGTCAAAACTCTTCTTGGAATCATGGCAAGTTTTTTGCCTCTTTCAAAAAAGGAAAAAAAAGCAACCTACTAGCTGTATTCTAGGAGAATAAATCAGGATCCAATTACATAGTTTAACTGGCAAATTAATTTGTGCATTTTCCAACATTTTTTAAAGTACACATGTTGAAGTGCTGAACTCCTGCCCCCAATGAAGCTTTTAGGGCCCTTTTGAGACACACAGATGCAGAGAGAAAATATGTAAAATAATGAGAGGCATTTTCATGATATTTAAGGATATTTGCTTTCAGAATTCTATTAATTTAAGAGACTGACTTGCAACTGTTACTGCATTAAGAAACTTGGCAAGCACCAGAGTATAATTATTTCTGCTATAGCACTAACACAAAGAAAAAAATTAGGCATGTAATATATATATGTATTTATGGCTATTTTTATTGATGTTGTTGTGACTTACAGTCCCCAGAGAGCAGCTTCCTTTCTTTCTCCATGCTGAAGAAGAAAGCATACACACATGGCATTGCATTTCTGACAATGATATTTCCTGAAGAACTAACCCTAAATAGGAGATGCTGATTCCTAGGAAAGCTGCTAATGAATTCTTAGCATATGCCTTATGGATATCTTTTTTGGGGCAGTGTTCATCAGTGTTTGTTTTGCTTGATGCCTAAGTAGGGCAATTCTTACTGTGTGAGATTGTCCTAAATATTGCAGATGCTTCCCATCTCTCTCTCCAGACCCTCTAAAAGCCAAGACTTTCATTGTGACTACTTAACACTCCCCATATCTTATAAATCTCCATTTGAAGACCACTGCAGATAGATGAAACTTCTAGAATGATCCTCAGGTTATCCTGGGGTGGTCTAGGGGAGGGATGCCATACTAAATTTCTCTTAAGATGCCTGTACTAATTATGTGGAATGTGGAAAACTCTAAATGCCTCCTCTCCCTAGGGCCTTCTGCAATATTTCTCATATTGTTAAAAGTAATTGCTCTTTGGCTAGTGGTTTATGACCAAGTTAAAGAAAAATAAAATAGAACTTTTTTTAAACCCACCCAGCTGGCTAAATCATCTCCCTCTGCTACTTTTCTGGGAAAGATAACATTGAAGAGTTATTTCTAGAGCATCTGTTCATCAGGATACAGATATGTGCTGTCTTGAGGACCAGGAAAGGCTCCTGTGATTGACTGTACTTCACAAGGCATTTTTGGAAACTGAGTCAGTAATCCAGAAATTAACAAGGAAGTAGAGACACATGGAGACAGGGATCGATTTAAGCTCTTCTCAGCTAAGTAAACTGAATTGACTGTCAACAGATTAGAGCTTCAAATAAATTCTGGTGTTTAGTTAATAATAATACACAAGTATCAGTTTCTTACTAATAATGTGTTGTATGTGCATCAGTATAGTGTAATTTCTATGAGATGCTGCATTTAGTATGCTTTGCTACATCTTACACCCCCACTGGCAAATATGCTATAGTTATGTAAGATGTTAACAGAGGGGCACACTCAGTGAGGGGTATAGAAGAACTCTGTGCTATACCTGCCATCTTTCTGTAAATCTAAATTTGTTCCAAAATAGAAATGTTATTTTTAAAAATTGCTCTCTAAACTTACTCCTTTTATTCACAAAGCCCCATCTCTTCTTCTTGTCATTTGTTCTTTTCCCTACCATAGCCTGCTCCCAGCTTCCCCTTCTCTTCTCTAGATTTCCAGCTCAGATTGCTGCAGAGGTCTCAAAATCCAACCCTGAGTCCCTTCTGAGGGCCTGTTTTTCAGGCATTCTACAGTTCTAGCCTTCTGCTCTTTCTTGCTTATCTTTTTTGTATTCTCTCTCCTTTAATATTAAAATTGTATTTATAGTTTACAAAGCAGTTGCCCAATTAATCTATCATTTGATCCCTCATAACATTCCAGTGACTTGGCCATAAATATTAGTAAGTGAAAATGAAAGTAGTGAAGGTTTAGAGAAGCTAAATAATGTAAGTGGTTGGCTCAACATCATCCCATCATCAGTAGAAGAATTGAGACTTAAATTCAGATTTTCCCATTACTTTTTGAAATTTGGGAGGAATTTTCCAAGAAAAAAAAATGACTGATAATCTCAATTTTTTTTTTCCCAAGGCAGACCACCACATGTAACACCTCATTCAGATGAGTCTAGAGTCTTGGAAACTTTACCCTATTTTCTCCTACAAATGGACCTCAAGAGATTTTTTTGGAGGTCCTACCCTGGGAGCACAGTTACCAGAGTACCCTTGACTGAAGAATGATCATTCTCTGCTGGGGTGTACAGTCTCAGGAATGGTAAGGGAGAAAGGGGGTGCCTGCCTAGCCACCAAGTCAGCCTAATGAACTGGACATTAAATGGGGTGACAGATGTTGCAGCCAGATCATCCTCAAGTCTGATAGTGTCTTAACTTTATGTGACACACAACATAATGGCAAGTAGGTGAAAAACAGCACAATTTAGCAAAGTTAAGAACAATGCATTTGAATACCAGAATGAGGTCAGATTCCTTCATTCAATGTAATATTCATAAGAAGATAGAATTGGGAAGGCTGTAATCATCATCTAGTTGACCATATACTTCACAGATGAGGAAACTTGTGGAAGAGAAAATAATATGAACTCACTAACCTCTTTTATATGTTCTGTGCTCACAAGAAGACTAATTTGCCAGCTGTCTTTGAACATACTCATTACTGAATTCTGTCCAATGGAATGTAGGAAGAATGATGTACGTTACTTATAGGCCTAACCATGGAATATCCTACACAATCTTCTACTCTATCTCCCCAGTCTGTGCCTCTGGAAGGGAAGGGCTTCTCCACTTCAGGAAAGCTGAAACGCATTGGAATTCATGTGAGTGAGAAACCTGCTTTTAATGCAGTATACCTGTGGGATCATGGATAGCATAGCCTAGCTTATCTTGACTAATGAATAAACTGAAGTCC